TCCGAAAAGGGGCGTCATAATCAAAGCGTCGTAAATAAAAAGAGCAAACAAACTGAAAATCGAAAAACCAAAAAAAAACTAAACTTAACTAAAAGATCATAAGACTGCTTGCTGCTTCACGCTACAATGCTAAACAGATGAACAGCAGAACAGACGAAAAGCAGAACAGACAACGATAGTAAACCTGTAAAAGTTACACAAACTAAAAAATTAAAACAAATATAAAGAAAATAAATTCAATTTTAAGAAGTTCTGAGGTGGTGGGTTGGGTGAGTTGAGGGGGAAAAGTAATACAACTTGGAAGTTCTCTCATTGTTTCGGTCAGTACTCCTCTCTCTCTCTCTCTCTGGGTATCATTGTCAGTCTCCCCTCTCTGTATAGCTCTCTTTCTCTTCAGGTACCTCTGGAGCAGCTACAATTCCTCTGATGTCAGCGTTTAAGTAAATATTTTCCCCGATTTAAGCGTGTAATTTGGTTCCGAAACAAACACGAGCAGAAACGAGACGATACGAGACTAGACGAGTACCTTAACCTTTATGCCAGCCATATTAATATTGTCAATTCTGTTGCTGATGTTGGTTTTAACAAAAAAGTAGCGTTATATAAGCTGATCGCAGGGTTAAGGTTAAGCGCGCTGTTCCCAGCAGCTTAACAGCAGAAATGCAAATGTAAAACATGCTGTCAGTGGATTCCAGTGAACGAGTCACGAGCCAGCGTCATCATCTGATGAGAGAGGTGTCTGGGAGAGCGTAGAGTGAGAAATGTCTGGGAGAACGCAAAGTAAGAAGAGTTGTTCCCAACTAATTAATCAAAAAAGGCCAGGCATCAAAACTACAACTAATGATGATGCTTCCTCTCCCTCCCTCTGCTCTGTCTAGTTCAGTTCTCTATGACTCACTCTTTGCTAGCACTTCTGGACACTTCTGAACACTGCTGACATCATTTAGCTTTTTCCATCGATTCTCGCATGCATTCTGCACCTGCTGCAATCAATTTATATCGCTGATAAGTTTTGTCACAGTACTTCATAGATATCTATGTACACACATACATATATGTGCACAGGTATGTAGATACCCTCTACTATCTCTGCAAAAGTCCACTCAATAGCCATAAATAAAACAAATATCAAACGAAAAAAGAAAAGAAAGAAAGAAAGTCATAAATTGACTGGACAACAAAATTCGTTGATTGCGCGGAGGCTTCTATATTTCCGTTGGAAAACAGTCGAGTACCATTAGCAGCGGCAGCAGCAGCAGCAGAGGTAGATAACGTTGCAGATTTTTTACAGGCCAAAGAAAACAGACATTTCATTTGTGGCATCATCAGCCCATAATTATCAGCAGAGGCAACACTGGTTGGAGAATGTCAACGATTTTTGGGCCTAAATGAATGGCCTTAACTGATCTCTTAGCCTCCTCTCCCGCTCCCCCCTCCCTGGTAAATCCCATGTGAAAGAACTGGAACGCATAACGCTCATACTCGTAACATAAATAACAGAAACAGAGAGGCATAAAGAGAGAGAGAGAGAAAATAAAGCAAAAAAATTTATAAAGTACGTCAAGGAATGCCAAAGTGAAAGAAGAACCAAGCAGCCAAACCAAACCAAAACCAAAGCCAAACCATCAAAGCCGATAGCAAGGTAATCCACGTCGCGCCTCAAAACAGGGCTCAAGCACTGTGGTCCCGTGGACACTACATACACCGAGAGAAATGGCTGGCCCCTAATCTTGCAACACACTTTTTAATGGACTTTAATGGGAGTTTTAGTTTATATTGTTGCAAAACTTAGTTTCCCAACCTATAAACTAAATATTTTCAGAATAAATCGAACAAGCCAAGACTTGGAGACTTTAAAGTTACACAACCTTAATGTGTTTACACTTAAAGCAAAACCATCTTGATTGAATAACAAACACAGGCAAAAGAAAACCAATAAAAATATGTGCCCTAAATGGGGTATTATTATTCCCTTTCAGTTACGAAGGTGTTGAAAAGAACCGAAACAAACGAAGGAACGGAACGGAACGGAACGGAACCCTCCATGAATTATATTTTTGGTGTGAGCTTTTTCCCTCCGTGTAAGTCGCTCCCCCTCTGTATGTAGGTCTCTGCCTGTCCGTCTGTCCGTCTGTAGGTCTGCTGTCTCGGGTCTTCGGCAGCCTTCACAGCTGTGTGTACTTCGGCGGTGCCGCTTAAATATTTGGCATTTCTGCTTTTTGCTCTGTTACGCTTTTTGATTCCGATCGATGTACGCAGCGATGTATGCAAACCAGAAGAGAGAGGAGCAGAAGAGGAACCTCGAAATAAAAAAAAAACCCAACAATTTACGAGTAGCGCACATGCGCATTGTTCTTTGGGGTTCAGGCCGCTGCTGCAAGGCATACGAAATACGAAATCAATGCCCCCAACCCACCCCACCACACAGACACACAAAACACACACACACAGCATGGACATGGGGCATGACCATCAACACCTTCCCAGCTGCAGCAGCAGTGGCAGAAAAACCAAGAACCAGCGGCACTTTTACGGCTTCAAATCTCCTTCCTCTCCTCTGGGGGTGCGGTGCCGCGATCTTCTACTTCAGTGCACCGACTAGCGGTATATCCATTAATAATTAACATGGAAGAAGCCCAAAGCCAAGGCGAAGAGCCACAACCGATATGCCCTCGCTACACCATTTTGCTTACTGGGTAAACAACAACAGCAACTCTAAAAGGAGAGGGAAAAACCAAAACAAAGAAAAGCAAAAGAAATAATTACAGGCAAGCAAAAAAAAGAGTTCGAAATTCTACCGCTTCACAGACAGAGAGCGGCGGTGCAAAGCGGAAACAAAGTGCGCAAAATGTAATTAATTGCCCCGAAGGCACAGCCCAGCTCCGACCTCCGACCAAAAAGATTCGCCGAAGATTCATATGCAGCGAGCAGCAAGCAGCAGCAGTAGAAGATGAATTTACGTATACATACATGCATGCATACATATGTATGTATGTATACATACATAGTACATATGCATAAGTATGTACTTACACATTTGATGCTACAACAGTGGAAAACAAAAGCATAAGATCGGTTGGAAGTTTGAAAGCCACTGCTTATCGGCTTTATGCTTCAGTTTTACATTTGTGCAACGTGCTGTTCTCCTACGCTCTCCCTCGCTGAACTTTTGTTTGTTTATTGGTTTTGTCCGATCATCTTCTCTTCCTTTTGTTTTTCTTGCAATTTTAAAGCTAAATATTTTGATTGGACCCGGGGTCCCCTAAAACAGCAACAAACGAACAAACAAACGCTGAAAGAATTGCAAATTGTTGACCGCTTCACAGACATGATTAAATTTGTGTGTCTGCTCCTTCGTTTTGTTTCCCACAGATGACTCTCAGATGATTGGCAAATTGCTCACAAAATTTAAGACTCAACTTCAAGGCTGAGTATAATTCTTGTTGTTGGCTTTTGCTTCACAAATAAAAAAATAGAGGCGAAACCCCACCCACCTGCTGATAAGATGGTTCGGCTGTTAGTTTTTAGTTTTTTTAGTTTTTTGCTAGTTTTTCTAACCGGAATTCCAACAGCGCCGCCACTTCCGCTGTGGATAAGCTCCATCCTCAGTTGGAGCGGTCGTCAAGTGGGTTCCTCTGCTGCTGATGATGATGATAATGATCACCCGCTTGAGCTTGAGCTTGAGGCCGAAATTGAAACCACTCTTTGCACTTGACTGGCATTAGCCAAATTCCAAAGGCATGGGCATGGCATGGCATATGGCTTGGCCAAAAACGAGACAGCTACATAATAAATAAGCCTTAAATGTGGCAATTGTTTATGGCTCAAAGCTCCAAAAACTCGAAAAACAATCAAGACACACAGGAGACGGGGAGAAAGAGAGCGAGGGAGAGAGCTTGCGCTGTGATTTGGGTGAGAAATTTCACTGCAAATCCAGTTTCAAGGTTGAGGCGGTCTCCGTGGTGGTGGTGGTGTGGTGTTGGTTCCAGGGAACAGTTACAAGCAAACTGTGGATTATTTACTGTGGATTCTACGGTACGATTGTAGTAATTGTTGCGGATCAGAGCTGCTGGGCAAACAATAAGGGGGAGGGTAAGGGTAAGACGAACATCTGGTACTTTGAACTAAACTTTTAGCTAGAACCAATCGTTTCGCAACAACAAAAAAAACTTGGCAAGCTTTGCGATCACTTTAAGAGACTTTTGACTTTTATTGTATTATTCCGCCTAGAAATTGTTGCCGCACTTCTTGGGCCTGTGATAACTGTAAGACTGAGAGATATGTATGTATTTTTTGGCCACATGCAGTCGTAGTTGTAGTTGTCGTCATCGTCAACAGTCAACAGACTTTGACTCTGACTAAAAAAAGAAAGCAAACTACAGCTCCGCTGTGAGTGAGCCAAGTACTAAAGACCAGACAACCAGACACACACCAGAGAGAGAGAGAGAGATAGGGAGAGCGGAAAACCAGTTTGAGAGCAAGTTTACTTTTTAGTGGCGTTGACGTTGTTTTTTTTTTTGTTGTATTTTCTGGCTTATAGCCTTGAATGTGCATTTCATGTGGTATTTCTCCTGTTTTTTTTTTTGGCGCGAGCTCAGGGAAACAGAAAACAAGTTAAAGCCAAACTTAGCCAAGTTTTTCCCCAAAAATAAAAAAAAAAAAAACCAAGAAAAACTTCATTTCATAGGCAAGTGAAAAGAGAGTGCCACCAGACAGCAATCCAAAGCGAGAAACAGAGAGAGAGAGAGAGAGAGACAGAGCCGCTCTATTGCGGTTATTTTCTAATTGCTTTTCCGAGCCATTTATTTGCATATCTCTGACACACTTGGCCAATGGTTAAAGCCAATTGGAACGAGTCCAATCGGCGCAGAATGAGGTGTGGAATGTAAATATTTATTTCCCAGATACAGATACCCATTTTTATTCCATCACTGTGGTATTGTATCGGCATTCTAAAAGCAAAATCTGATAAGTCCGATTGCTAAATTGAATAAAAAATCTGAAAATTGACTCACAAGTTCGGGACTAAGGCATGGAATCGGCCCCAATAAATATTGGCAACAACTGTAACGTCCACAGTACGGACACAGTTGTTGCCGAGCACGTGAACCTTGAAAAACAGAATTCACATGGTGATTCTGCAATACAATTGATATCGGAGCAAGTAGTGGCTGCTTCTTCCAGTGCTACAACCTACTCACACACGGGCAGTTCTCTTTCTGATGGGAGAATGGCACTTTTGAAGACTGACGCTGAGCCTGGCTCCAGTGGCTCAACCGAACCGAACAGTTCTACGGGTAGCGGGGGTGACGAGCCGCCTACCGATGAGTGTGCCTATGATTGCAACATATGCTTCGACACCGCCAAGGATGCCGTGGTTACCATGTGCGGCCATTTGTTCTGCTGGCCCTGCCTTCACCAGTGGCTATTGACGCGTCCCAGCGTCAAACTCTGTCCCGTATGCAAGGGCTTGGTGGACCAGGCCAACGTCATACCAATTTATGGGCGAAATGACAAGCATCAAGTGGATCCTCGCAAGAAGTGTCCGCCACGACCTGCTGGACACCGCGGCGAACCAAGGCCGGCTCGCTTTGGTCTAGGTCTACCGCGCTTTGGACTTGGATTTGGTGGCGACATTCACATGTATTTTGGCATTGATATTTCTCCTTTTGGTTTTGTTCGATCTCTACTCAATGTTGGTGCACCGCGTCCGATGGCTGGCAATCGCGGCCCAGCCCCAAACGTCGATCAGCATAACCTTTCCATGCTGTTTCTTTATGTGGCCTTATTTTGCTTCCTATGGCTATTCTTCTCATAGGAATTTGCCAGGCAGTTCCAACACCAAAATTTTAATAGTTAGAAAATCATTGCAATGGATTTACACACTCAGTATACTGAGTTGATTGGTTATTTATTTACACGAACTCACATGAACCCTTCTTTTCCCTAAAGAACCCACGTGTCGCCGCACAATATTATTAATTTGAATTTACACATTACACATATTTCTGTATGGCTCTTGATAATCTATAAATCATTTGTAACATCAGATAAATATAACTGAAATATATATGGACACATCATTCAGATTGAACATGTTTCCAGGGGGTTCTCCATCCCATTCCATCCCATTCCATGCATCGATCCTCTCCTTATCATTTTGGCAAGTGACATTGGCTATTTTTACTATACATATACATATTTCATATATAGATTAAATAATAATCAATGATATTCTGTTGGACTATGTGCCGGGGCGATAATGCTAAAATGGGGTGGAATATATTATAGTATTATATAGAATTTGTCATGGCATGGAAAACGGAATTTGAGTGTGACATTCGTCAGCAGCAGTCAACAGGCTGAAACAGGAATCCCAAGCACATGACCTTTTCACTCAGTAAAGATTGAACACAAGATTATATGATATATGTATATTGCACAATATTTCAGGAATTTACTTTAGAATATATCCAAAACCAAATTAAAATCACATCAAATGAAAGATACTGCACTTCCCATCGCCAAATCGGAGCATACGGCACATCCCCCCTCCCAGTTGTAAGTACGGAAAGTCAATTGGCACTCATCAAGCGTAGTAGAGATCCCGACCCCTGCAGGGTCTCCAGGGTCTCTCAATTAATTATAGGGTAATTGCAACTCCCCCTCATCGGCGGCACTTGAGCAATTACCATCATTAAATAATGCTTTATCTTTATGATTCCCATTCGCGTCTCTTTGATTTCCCTTTCGAAATAATGTCCAAAAGTACTAAATAAACCTTTGAGACAGCGATAAGAGCCACCCAAAAAAAAAACAAAAGCAAAGAGTGTTCTAAATTCGTTTAATGGCTTTGATTGATTGGATTGGAGGGTAGGGTAGGTAGTCATATAACCATATAATGCGGTGATTGATTGATTGACCTGGGCCGTGGACCTGATTTCGAATGGAATTAACCAAAAGCATTAAAAATACTCCAATTGGAAAAAGGAAGGGGGAACAAAGAACAAACAAAAAGTACAGCGCACAAATTGCGCAAAATGCCAAAGAAACTGAGAGAAAACAACAAAGATGCGGGGGTCGCAGATGTAATACCCTTGAAGATTTATCACTCCAATGCTAACTTTATGAGCATTCTATGGGACAGTAAATAGGATGGCTGGATCACTCAGATTTATGTATATGGATCGCTATTACTATATTTTCAATGTACTAAAATATGTACTAAATTTGTTCTATCTTCTTCTCTGCATTACAAAAATAGGTCCAAACTAAATATACTCTCTGTTCAAAGGGTATACAAATGCAGCCACAGCAACAGCAACAAGAATAACACACACATACATACAAACATATGCATATGACTGTCTATGCATACATGTGTGCCTGTGTGGAGGGAATGTACAAGAGCATTCCAAAATGGACCAACGGGGGTCTCTCCGGTCTCCCTCCCTCCCAATAGGAATTGTATTTCGCCTGCAGTTGGACAAGCACTGGGCGACTGTTGCTGCTTGCGACTGCACTTTTTATAATTTCTGCAGGGCATCTGTTTACAGGGGCGTTGGCATGGCATGTCTCTCTCTCTCTCCCCCTTTTTCCTCTTCCTCCGGATCGCCTTGGCCTTGTTGTTGCCGGCGCTGCTGTTGCTGCTGTCGTTGGCCTCTTGGCTGACCCGTTAAGCGCGTAATTGAATTTAAACGGCAATTGTCTTGGCGAAATGCATTTACAGCAAATTACAAATCACAGCAGCGCCGGCATCAGTTGCTCCCAAACTGCAGCTAACGGTACTGCAGAATGCTTAATGAGCGAGCGAGCAGGCAAATGCCAAAGCGGAATGCGGTTTAAAAATAAACCAAGCCCAGAGCGAGCGAGCGAGCTAGCAAGGGGGAACAAAATAGAGAGGGAGCGAAGCCAAAACGTGCTTTGGCTAAGACCCTACTTAGCCTAGTTTACGACCCACAGAGAGTGAGAGAGGGAGCCTGGCTTTAATGACGTCGCAGACACCTGCACACTGACACAGAGATCATCAGAGAGGGAGATAGGGTGGTAGTGGGGGGCCACTCTCCCTGCATTACTTACTCCGTATGTCCATCCCTCTCGCTCCGCTACGCTAATTTTACGAGCTGACCACACGCACCCTTTCTGTACAGTTTTAGAGTCAAACTCGATCCTCTGCACGCTTATGCAACACGTTGGGGTTTATTGGCAGTAAAACCCATATTATTTGGTGCTTGGCTTTACAGTTTACAGTGCCTTCCTCACCCTCGCGTGCATAGTAGTTCCATTCATTTTGCACTCACCTGTAACAGCCTCGTAGTATCCCAAATCCAGCGTGAATGATTTACGTTATAGTCCTGGCTTACACAAATATCTGTTGCGCTCTCTCTCTACTTTGCCGCTCTCCTCTTGGAATCTCACGCTCTGCGTAGATATCCTCTGCTGCTGCGCTGTGATCTCTCTTTTTCCTTGTTGGCTGCTGCGCGGCGGCTGCGGCTGCTGTTTAAATTTACATAAATTCCCTTTTTTTATTTATCTTTCATTTACAATATTTTCACTTGATTTGGCTCTTTTTACGATCTTTCTCTTCTACTCCTGCTCTCTGCTTGTGTTCGTTAAGAAAACGATGCAGAGAACGCGTAAGCCACGAAGATGGTGGGCAGCAGGAGGAGAAAAACCGGAAAGTTGTTATTGTGGCTGCTGCGGCGGTTATTGTTGTTGTTGTGGGTAGATAAAGCCCGAAAAAAGTGTGTAAAAGAAATCAAAAGAATTGTAGTTTTGGTTTCTTGTTTTCGTATTCTGTTTTTTAATTTATGCCAAAGAATTTTTGTCACTGCTGCTGCTGCTGCTGCGCTGCGACTGCGGCTGACCTTAATAACAAATTCCAATGCACACACACACACAAACGCACATCCAAGCCGCTTTCACACACAAACACGTTGCTGCGCAAAAACCAGCTTTGTAGGTTTTTTTTTTGTTAGTTATATTTTGTTTTTGGGGCAGTAATTAGAAGTAGCCGCGTTTTAAGCACCAGCGTTAGAAGCGCAACAGCAACGGCAAGATCGGCAGCAGCAAAATTTTCTAATTAGCACAAATACAACCACAAAACAAGAGCAGGCTCAAAACAACACATCGAGAAAGAGATTTACGTTTGGTTAATGGTATCGTTGTTGGTACGGCGCACGGGATCTCATGTAGGTATTTGTTGTTAGCGGTTTTTGTCGATCAACAATTTTTCAATTCCACTGGCGCGCTTTCGTCCGCGCGCACGTCTTTTCGATCGTGTCTTTTTCAAATTTTTGTGGGACCCAGTGTGACCGCGGACTAATCGGTAAAAAATACCACACTTGTTACTCATTTTTGCGCTTCAAGTAAGAGCATATCGATATTTCTGTGCGATAAGCTTTTCGGCGTTTTATTTTGAATAAATCAATCAAATACCATTTTTCTGGCATAAATTAAAATGGCTAAACCGCTGCCTGGTCTAGTAGGGGAATTTCTATACCCTGTAATTCTTAATTTACCTCTAAAATTTGGTAGAAGAAGTCGCCTAGTACCGTGACACGAGATTTTTCTCTCCCTTTGATAGTTGCGGCTATCGATATCCGCAAGTCAATTGTCGATAGGATTTTCGGGTAAAATAACGAAAGAAATGTCGCTGTTGTTTGCATTTTTTTTTGTTTTAAGCTGCAACTGCAGCCTGTTGCTTGCCAAACACAAAAATAAGACCTGCAAAATTCTGGTGGCCGAATTGGGCGATGGGCAGAGTAAATTTGTGTACTGCGCCACCACAAAATCCGTCCCTGTGCGGCTCTGCATTGGATGCGAATTGGAGTATAGGAATCTTACGCGCTACTACGATGCGTTGCTCTCCAGTCCAAACTGTTCGAAGATATATCTCGATTCGGATCGCATCAATGTGGTGCCCACCACCCAGGGCATACTCACAAATCTCTGGCAGAAGGCAAGCTGCGAGGGTAACACGAAAACGATTACATTCCTCTGAGTCATGCATCCTCCACCTCTGAGCAATTCCTCTCTCTCTCTTCCCGCTTGCAGATTGCTACAATAGCAATCATTCGGACCTATATGACGAAAAGTGGAACACTCTGAGTGGCTGTCTCAGTGTACATCACGGGGATCCTTGCGTCGCCTGCAAGGGGGACTACATCGATCTGAACCAATTTTACTTGGCAATGGAGAAGGCAAACAAAGGACATGTGTGCTTTGATATTCAGGACAGTGTAAGAGGCACCACGAACTGAGCAACTCAACTGTGACTTCACTCTCATTTCAACCTTTTTCTTCCAGATGAATCGCACACGTTCGAATTGGTCTAAAACGTTAAAATGCTGTCAGCGGGAGGTTAACCTAAATACATTCCTAATTGCCGTCTGTGTGGTGGTCCTACTGCCCATCGTTACCTTCTACATCACCGCCATTGTGCTGACCAAGCGGCGGGAGGCGAATCATGGACTCCTCAACGAGGAGAGTAAGTGTTTCCCACCCACTCGATTTGAGACTTTCTTTCTTCATTTTTTATTCTGTATAATTTTGTATAGTTCCCGCATTGGATGCCCCATCAACTTCTGCTCTCATCACCGCCGCTGTGCTGTCGACGCCCACGGAAGCGCCAGAGGCAGTGACTGCCAGAACGGAGAAGATTGCCATCGTGTTGAGCGGCGCAGGGATCGACCCTGAATCTGACTCTGCATTGGACTCCAGCGATGAAGAGTTGTTAGTGAAACCAAAGAGAGCCTAAGTATTTGAACCCCATTTTCGAAATATTCTAAAAGTCATCCATTGAACCCATTCGTAACTACATTGTGGGGCGTAGATTATCACCCTCCTCCTATAAGATATATGTATAAAATATTTTTTCGAATCGTGCCACTTGTGTGATATCTCCAAATAAAGTAACAAACTTTTTTTATAGATTTGTAATCAAACAAATTCTTTATTCACATCAGTCTTTGGTTGCGTCTCTCCCTCTGCTGGTCTTCCGGAACATCTGCATTTGGATAGCTGGTAGCTGGTGGTGCTCCTCCTGTGGCTGTTGCTGCAACGAAAAAGAGCAAAACTTCCTAGCTCTCTGTCCAGAGGTATGTCGTCTCGTCGTCTAGTCAGTCGTCTCACTGGGGGACTCTGGATTATATCCAGCGAATCTTTTGTGGGGCAGTTGCAGTCTTTCGAGTGGAAATGGCAAGTCTCAAAACAGTTCGAATTTGCTACGTTTCTACGTTTAACTACGTTTCTACGGTGGACGGTGGACGGTGGAAGAAGATGAGCGAGCGATGATGATCGTTCGATCTCAGAGAGTAGATTATGGATGGGGGGGGTGGTGCTGGTGGTCTGGCCACCAGACATACAATACGTTTTTCGTTCGGATGTGTGTCGGATGCGGGTTTTGCTTTTGGGTCCTCTCTGTCTCTGAAAGACATGTACAATATATGTATGTATGTAAATTGTTAATATTTTGTTGCATTAGTGGTGGCTATACCCATAAGATATAAGAAAGATTGGATTGGATTGCATTGATCGATTGGATGGATAATAGATAAAAAACTCTTGTAAAAAACAGTCTTTGATTCGCTCCTCGAACGGAACGGAACTTCCGCTCTTTTCTGTCCAAACTCTCGTTTCGGTTGTTGCTTTTTTTTGTTGCTTTGTAGTTTGGCTTTGCCTTTTGGACGGGACGGGGGTGGGGGCGAAGCACAAGGATGCGGGATGCAGGAGTTGGACGGCTGGTCGATTGGGCTTGGTGGGGGTGGGGGGCATTGGAAAAACACATATACACACACATCACTGCTTCGATTTGAATATACATATATAACGGTACGTTCTTGTGGTTGTTTGTTGTTGGCTCTGTTGTTGTTTAGTCTCTTTGGCGTCTCTTTCGTTTAAAAGTCTCTCTCTCGTCTCCATATATTCTTCTCTTCATCGTTTTTCGTACAAATAAAGTTCACAATTTCTCTCTTTCATTTTGTATTTTTTTTTTTGTGGTTTAAAATATTTTTAATTAGAATTTAGGTGTTGGTTTCTTGTTGAAATTTGCTTATGCATAAGATTTGTTTTTGTTTTGTTTTGTAAATCAAATGACGGGTCAGGAGGGGTAAGGGCGGGTAGTGGGTGGGCGGCGAGACAGAGAGATGCAGAAAGAGAGAAAGAGAGTTGTTTGTTGTTGTTGTTGCTGGAGTGGCGGTGTATCGATAGCCGATAACGCTGCCGCCTCTCGCTCGATAGCCGTCGATAGCTATATGTTCGATTATATAGTTTAGGTCTAGGAATTATCATTTTTATCATTTTATATCTTTTAAACGATCGCATCGCCCTACAATTATCAATATTTCTCATTTCACACACGCGAGCACACATAATTCGTTCACTTTTTCCGGTCCGGTCGATCAAATCTAGCGCCTGTTGTCCCGATAGCTCCGCTGGCCACCGCCGCCGCGATCACCACGAAACGAACGCGAGTCTCGCGAGGATCCACTGCGATTCCCGTACTCCCGACGACGACCGCCACCCGCGGCACCATTGTTGTCCCGATTGCGATATCCCGGTCCTCCTCCCACGCCACCGGCAGCTCCACCCACGCCTGGTACGGGCGCTCCCAACGCCGCCCCATTGCTCCCACCATTGGCAGCACTGCCGCCATAGACGGGGAACCCTGGTGGCGGCACCGTGGGCAGGCCGGCGTTCTTCCAGGCGGCAAACTCCTCGTAGCTGGGCGCCTTGTCGAATCCTGGCGGCGGTGGTCGCTGCGGGGGCGGGTAATCTGGCAGCGGTGGTGCTCCAGGGCCATCGTAATATCGCACCGGCGGTGGCAGCTGCTCGTACATGGCGGGCGTAGCCCCCTGGGGCATGGCGCCGGCAGCTCCTGCTGTTCCGGGCAGTGGCATCTGTGCGAATGGTGGCACGAAGGGCAGCGGAGGCAGCTGGCCGTGCATGTTCCGCATATAGTCCGCGACGTATGCCTCGGCAGCTGCGGCCGACGACATGTACCGCTCCCACGAGGGCATCGACATCTCGGGTGGTCCGCCTTGGGCTCCACCGCCACTGGCTCCGCCCATTTGGCGATAGGGTGATCCTCCGCGCTTGAAGCCGCCGCCTTGCTGCATGCCGCCCATGCCGTGATGGGGATGTCGGTGGTACGGCCGGTGCTGCTGATGCTGTTGTCCATGGTAGCTCCTCTTGTGGCGCATGGGTCCGAGATGATTGTGGCCAGAGCCCGAGCCCGATCCCCCCCTCCCACTGCCACCGTGGCCGCGGGAGGAGAGACTCCGGGGGGGCTTGTAGATCACGTGCATGCCCTTCTCCCTCATCACTCGTGCGGTTTCCTTTGATTTCTTCAGAATCGGCGTCAACTCAATCTGCTCGTCCTCGGGAAAGAGGCGGCACAGCTCGCCACCGATCTTGGGCTCAATCTCCTGGCCATCGCGTCCAATCTTCACGGGCTTACCCTCGTTCCATGTGTTGTGCAAGTGCAGTGTGGCATTGAAGGACAGCTCCTTGCGGCATATCCAGTCCAGCTCAATGACGCCGCCGAGTGCCTTCGGGGAGATGCTCGGCGGCAGCACCCAGGCAACCTGGGGAATATCGCGTCTGGAGGGAGCCGCCATCCTGGCGAATCCTGCAAATTTACCTACAAAATGCGAGCGCGGATTAATTCCATTCGTGGCTCAATGGATTTGGATGTGTTGGATGCTGTGCTTACCGCTCTCGTTGACGGAGAAGATGAGCAGGACATTGCGGGCCTCCTTGAAGGCCTGATTCAGATTGGCATCGTTCTGCGGCAGCGTGGCCCAGACGCTCTTGCCCTTCGACAGCTGCACATTATCGAGGTTGTTCGACTTGATCAGAAAGAAGCGCGTGTCCCGGAACAGGTAGTTGAGCTTTGTCATGTAGTCGTAGCCCTTCTGCGACTGTGAGCCACTGCCATCCTTCTCGGGCGTGGAGTTCTTTGAGCTGCTGGCCGCTGTGCTGGCTTTGCCACGCGCCCCACCGCCGCCGTTCCGCTTGTGCTGTGTGCCCGAATCCGAGTCAGAGGACTCGCTGTCCGACTCGAGGGCCGGCACGGCTGGCTTCTCATCCTCTGCATCGCTCGCCTCGCTCTTGTTGCCCGAATCGTTGGGATTCGGGGTCTTCTTGCTGCGCACGGACTTTTTCGTCAGCGGCTCCCGCTCCTCGGCGGGCGGAGACTTGGCCTTGGCCTTCTCCACCGGCTGCTCACTAGACGACTGACTCACCGACAGACTGGACTTCTTCGCGGACTCACTGCCCGTGCGCTTCTTCTTTTTGCCCCCATTCAGATCCTCGGGGGTGGCCTCTCGCTTCGTCTTCTTTGGGGTGGGCTTCTCCTTCTTCTCGGCCACAGGTGGGGCTGGGGCTGCCTCCTTGACCTTGGTCTTGGTCTTGCGCTTGCCGCTGCCCACCAGCGAGGAGGTGGCCGTGCTGACCGAACTGATGCTCGGCTCCGAGTCGTCGGAGGACTCCCCGCCATTCGATTCGGAGGCCTCGCTGCGTGTGTTGAACTCAAAGTCCTGCAGCTCCTCGGCAATATCCGCCTCGTTCTCGTCCAGCCCAAGATTCACTGCGTCCAGGTCGGCCATGTCGCGCATTGGCAGCGTTTGTTTACCTGCAGCAGCGTTCGCATGAATGAGACACCAACACAAATGCACACACGCATACACACGCAGCAGCAGCACCAGCAGTAGCAGCGGAGAAGAAAAATATAGAGAAAAAAAAATGCCGATCGATTTGGCAGGTGAGAAAGAATCGCTGGAAAAACACCGCTATCCCACACTCACTCGCTGCTCGGGGCATCAACTTTGGGGACCCTGTGTCCGTGCAACTTTTGATGCACTCTTTTCTATAATTAACCACTTGCAGAAACAACGAAATTAGCCCAGCTTCAGCTCGATTTTTACACACAAATTTCTGCGTCACAGCGTCAATGGCGATGGCGTCAGAAGAGTACCACTATATACAGCTGCGGTTTTCCATTGCAATCGGTCCGAATCGTTGGTATTTTTTTCGTATTTTCGTCAAAACGCGTTATTGCCTATCGATGTTTTGCCACCTCTTTTGTGTTTACTTTCGCGTAAAACGCGCGCCGCCGCCGCGCAATGACAACAAAAATAGACATTAAAACCTATGCGCTGTCTCTACTGGACTCTGTCGAGGGGCAGCGCTGCTATATACCCGAGGAGGAGCATCTGCCGCCAATTCCCAAAAGCTACTGGTGGCGCTGCATCCTCTCGAATGGGAGTTATGCCATTTGTCGCGTGGTCCGGCGTGCCGGCAGCGAATATTGTTGCTTTCTGGATAACGCGGTGACCTCCTCGGTAGAGTTTTCACCCACAAATCAACGCCTGACTAGCATCGAATCATTGACGCTGGTCCGCAATGTGACGAAGGTCTCGTGTTTGGTCTTTGCCACAGAGATGCTGCTTGAAAAACGGCCTGAACTGGATCTGGAGGACCTCGTCGGTGATGTTGGTATCTTTCTGCGCTGCCTCGTACTCGAGAAGGGCTGCTGCGTGCGACTGAAATACTTAAGCAGGATAGGCATTGACGCCATCCAGGTACTCGATGCGCCCGATGTGCCGGACAATCAGTGTTTCACATTGGATAGGCGCGCAGTGATCCACATTGTGGACGTGCGTCTGGCGATGCCCAATTATCTGCCCACTTGCACGAAATATCTGTCCGAGAGCTTTGAGCAGCCTATGGCTGCTCTGGAACAGCTGCTGGAGACCTCGAAATGTAGTTTACTCGCCCATCGATTCCCAACGACGGCCTTGATTGTGGGTCCAGTGGGCTGCGGCAAGAGCATGCTGCTGGCCAAGTTTCTGCGTCGCCACGAATGCAGCTGCTTCTACATCACCTCCACGCAGGTGATGAGCCCCCATCCGGGGGGCACTGAGCTGGAGCTGAGAAAGATCTTCCAGGCGGCGCGTTCATTCAAAGCCAATATGCTGCCATCAAGTAAGTCACTGAGAGGCCTCTTCGCTTGTACCTAATAATAATGTCCCCCGATTTAGGACCCATTGTGATAATAATTGAGGATCTGGAACTGATCTGCGCTTCCTGGAGCAGCTCTTCGGGTGCTGCCCAGAACTCGAACAATTCGTTGCGCATCGCCGCGCAGCTCTACAAACTAATCGACGAACTGGATCCGGGCATCATTTGCTTGGCCACCTCCAGCCATCCGGACTACCTGCATGAGCATGCGCGTCGTGCTGGCCGATTTGGTCGGGAGATCGCAATTGAAATGCCCAATGAGGAGCAGCGTGGAAGACTGATTAGAGCCTGGTGCGAGGAGCATGAACTACCGATTCCCCACGGAGCACTGCTCGATCATTTGGCCAAGAATACGCAGGGATATGTAATTTCTGACCTAACCCTGATGCTGTGCCATGTGCAGCAGGATGTGCTGGTCCAAGAGGTACCGAATTTGTACGAGATCTTCCGCAAGTGGCTGAAGCACACTCGGCCAAGTGGCTCGCGAGCCACAAATGTGCGCGTGGGCAAGATGACGGTGGGCTTTGAGTCAATCGGAGGCATGGATGCGCTCAAGCGAAAGCTGGAGGCGTCTGTGCTCGCCGGACTGCACCATGGGAAGGTGTTTGCACGCCTCGGACTCAGTCTGCCCAAGGGAGTGCTGCTGTATGGACCGCCGGGCTGTGCCAAGACCAGCATTGCCAAGTGTTTGGCCAAGGAGGCCAATATGACATTCATAGCCACCTCGGCGGCGGAGGTTTACTCCCCCTACGTGGGCAGTGCAGAGCGATATATCACTCGGATGTTTAATGCGGCCCGAAAGAATGCCCCATGTCTCATATTCCTAGACGAAATTGGCAAGTAACGCATGGGAACAGCAGCAGGGTTTCTCGGTGTTTACATCCTCCATTTGCATTGCAGATTCGTTGGTGGGACGTCGCACGGTTGGCAGCGGTGGCGGCGGTGGCCAGGTTCAGCTAAGGATCCTCTCCACCCTCCTCACGGAGATGGATGGCATTGTGGGGGGCAGCAATGAGAAGCACATACTCGTGGTGGCAGCCACCAATCGTCCCGAAATGATTGACGATGCCCTACTGCGTCCCGGACGCTTCGACAAGCTCATCCATGTCCCGGCGCCAGATCTGGAATCTCGCATGGCGCTGCTGCAGCTGCACGGCAAGCGGATGCCTTTCGATGAGAATCTGGATCTGGTGACGATTGTGCTGCACACCGAGGGCTACTCTGGAGCGGATATATGCAATCTGTGCAATGAGGCGGCCATCCAAACCTTCCAGCGCGACCCACAGGCCACAAAGATTGAGATGCAGGACTTTGCAAAGGTCATGTGCAAGCTGAAATCATCGCTCACCCACAGCCAAATCGATGCATACTATAAGTTTGCCAAAGTTTGATCTCAGCAATTAAGTACAAATTAAATTAACGAAGAAATTTATTCAATAAATCGACTGTGTCGCACGTTAAAATACGTTAAGTTATCGATAGCTGCTATCGGGAACAGCTGTTCGTGCGATATATCGTTGAAATAGCAAAACAAAGACAACGATAGGGGAAAAGTTAACGCAATTAAAAACAGCAAATAAATCGGGCAGAGCAGCAAAGCAAACAAAACAAATTGCAGATAATCGCGAAAACATTGAGAGTAAACGTGAGTCATTGGCCAGGGTAAAAGGAGCTTTCGCGACAGTATGGCGGAACCCGTAAAAGAAGCCGCACCGCCAAGCTACGAAGAGGTCATGAATGCAACAGCGCAGGGTAAGTGGGCAGCACCGTGAGCCACCAGGAACAAAGAAAGAAAGAAAGAGAAGGGCCACCCACCAGAGCAGATCTAATCAGTGAACATTTTACAGATGCACGCCTCATTGCGGGCGTACATCATGGAGGGCCAACGGCACCGCCCCCCAATATGCATATGCCCATGTACGGGGCATTCGAGACGACACCCGTGAGTGTGGTCATTCAGCCGCCGGTGGCCTTGCCCACGGAGATCATTGTGATTGGCGGCTGTCCGTCCTGTCGCATTGGCTACCTGGAGGACACCTTCTCGCCGCTTGGACTGTGCTGCGCCATCTTCTTCTTTCCCGTGGGCATACTCTGCTGCCTGGCGATGAAGGAGAAGCGCTGCACCAACTGTGGGGCAGTGTTCTAAAAAGCCCCCTCACACCCCATTCACTACCATTCGCATCTGCAATATGATTATGGCATTTAAAGTGCAATCACAAGACAATGATGGATTTGCTTGTTTTAATACCCTAAGCATATGGCAATGACCTATGACCTATATATATTCCTTAAACACACACACACACACACACATTGGGACGATCGACTGTAACTATTTTTTGATATCACAAAACAAAACTCTTCCCGTACGTTTTATTATTGTTAAACATTAGACTAGAAAAATCATTAAATTTGTATGTAAATAATATGAGTCATGGGATTCAATTCGATTCCCATGAATGTCTATAGTTTGCTCCAGCTGCCAGACCATGTATATACAGTATAGATATATACTGTAATATATATGCATGTGTATAGAGTGGAGATGCATGCCCATGCCCCCCATTAGCGACATTGTCGAGGCGCGCTTCCGTTTAAATCAATTGAAATATAATGGAGGGCGGTCTTGAATTATGCCGCGAACACAAGCACAACAGACAGTGGAAGCTGTGGAATTGCACGACCGGGAGAATACCCCCTAAAGGCGAGATCGCACACAGCTAAATGTAATTGATTGATTGATTCATCCTCCTTTGTACATATGATTCCCAATCTATTCCCAATTCAATTAAAGATTTGTGAATAAATCACATGATGCTTGTTACATCTGTTGTCAGTCAACCGCCAAGCCTGAAGTGAATATGCCCTGCTGATACATTTCATGGGCACACAGAGCACATCCGTCGTGCCAGCATCTTGGGAGTCATCTCAACAGTCGCGAATCTTCATTGCCGTCGAGATGTCCAGTGTGTGGATGCTGCTGGTGCTGGTGCTGCTGCACTTGTCCACCGATCTCGTCTCAGCTTCGTCCGCAACAACTGCTCCAGCGACAGACACACGACCCAATGTGGTGATGGTCATCTTCGATGATCTGCGCCCTGTGCTGGGTGCCTATGGCGATACACTGGCCAGCACACCGCATCTGGATGCCTTTGCCCAGGGCGGACATGTGTTTACGCGTGCCTACAGTCAGGTAAGGATGTGCTTAAGGCACCCTGCGCCCCCCCATTTACTGCTCCACTCATGCTGTGCCTGCCCCCTGCTTTCCCAGCAAGCTCTGTGCGCGCCCAGTCGCAATTCCCTGCTCACTGGCCGCCGTCCGGACACACTGCATCTGTACGATTTCTACAGCTATTGGCGCACCTTTGTGGGCAACTTTACGACGCTGCCGCAGTACTTCAAGGAGCATGGCTACCACACCTACAGCTGCGGCAAGGTCTTCCATCCGGGCCTGTCCTCGAACAACAGCGATGACTATCCATTGAGCTGGTCCGCGCCAGCGTTCCGTCCACGCACCGAGCAATACATGAACTCGCCCGTCTGTCCCGATCGCGAGGGTGTGCTCCGCAAGAATCTCATCTGTCCGGTGCACCTCCAGACGCAGCCCTACAAAACCCTCCCGGATATTGAGTCTGTGACGGAGGCTCTGCGCTTTGTGGAGTCGCGAAAGAGCAGCAGCAGCAGCAGCAGCAGCAGCAGCAGCATTCCCTTCTTTTTGGCGCTCGGCTTTCACAAGCCGCACATCAATTTCCGCTTCCCGCGGCAGTTCCTCCAGCGGTTTCCACTCCAGAAGTTCTTCAACTACACGGAGGACAGCCTCAAGCCACCGAACATGCCCGCCGTCGCCTGGAATCCCTACACAGATGTGAGAGCGAGGGACGACTTCAAGCACTCGAACATCTCCTTCCCCTATGGACCCATTTCCAGGCAACAGGCGGCGCAGATCCGTCAGGCCTATTACGCCTCGGTGGCCTATGTGGATGATCTGTTCGGGAAGCTGCTCGCCGGCCTGGATCTGCAGCGGACGGTGGTGCTGGTGCTGGGCGATCACGGCTGGTCGCTGGGGGAGCATGCCGAGTGGGCCAAATATAGCAACTTTGAGGTGGCTTTGCGCGTGCCGCTGATCATCCGCTCGCCAGAGTTTCCCGTTACCCAAGCCAAGAGCCACAGAGCCATCACGGAGCTGCTGGATGTCTTTCCCACGCTGGTCGATCTGGCGGGGCTGCCAGCGCTGCCCGTTTGCACAGATGCCACAGCTGTGACCTGCGGCGAGGGCAAGAGCTTGTATCCGCAGCTGCAGGGCTTAGGCTTGGATTTGGGTGAGTTATCTGCTGCTCATTCTGAAGGCTGTTTCCTCCAATTGCATTGCTGTATTGCCGTATCTTCCGCAGTGGACGAGCACGTGGCCTTGAGCCAGTATCCCCGTCCTGGCATGCTGCCCACAAAGCATCCAAATAGCGACAAGCCCAAGCTGAGGAACATCAAGATAATGGGCTACAGCCTGCGCACGGATCTCCACAGGTATACGCTGTGGGTGCGCTTCCATGCCCAGAATTTCAGTCGTGGTAGGTGCTCCTCAATCTGCACTGGTGTGTGATCTATATCCATATCTTATTGACAGATTGGCATGATATCTATGGCGAGGAGTTGTATGATCATCGTCTGGATGCGGCCGAGGAGCTGAATCTGGTGCCAATGCCCGAATTCGATGATGTGCGACAGCGTCTACGGCGACGTTTGATGGCGGCAGTGGAGCTCTCTCGCTCTTCTCATCATTTTGAATAAATTCATAAGCTTTAAAGCCAGCGCTTTGATGGTGGTGGGGGGGAATGTATCTTGTCGCCATAATTGGAATTTAATACTTCCGGTTGGGCAACAACGTTCCGTCCGTCGCTTGCAATGCGACGCCCAATCTCAGCTCCACCTCTCTCCACTGCTCTGCTCTGCTCTCCTCTTCTCTCACTCACTGATTCTCTCTCTCTCTCTCCCTCTCTCTTTGAATACAATTCCCCGCTCCGCTCGGCAGCGCTCTACTCTGCTCCGCGCATGCGTGTCTTGTGTCCATTGCCTTTTTGGCTTCGTTTTTGCTGAATTTTTGTGAATGAAATTTCATTCAACGTTGGCGGCTCGCGTCGTTCCGTTCGTCTCACTGCGTTGGCGTCGACGCCCAAACACAGAGAGACAGCAACAGAGATTGACAGAGTGTGGGGCAGCGGGCAGCGGGCAGCGGGCAGGGGGCAGGGGCGGCGAACGAATGTTGGCCAGCTTTCATTTTCTCTGCTACGCCGCTGTTGCTGCCACGACTTGGACTTGGACTTTTGCTGCTCTGTTGCCATGGGAGTGAAAATCCTCTGGCTCTGGTAATTAAATCTCTAGTCCATTGCCTGATCGATGCCCCATGCCACATGCCACATGCCTCCTTTTGTGTGTGTGTGTGTCTGTGTGTGTGTGCTCTCTAATGTGCATTTTTGGTGTGGGCTAAAGCTGCCGCCTCATGTTGTATGCCGCCTTCGTTGTTTGCTTCGTTTTTGGCCAACATGTGGGCCGTCTATCTGGGAGGTGATTAAACTGCATTTTGGCAGCACTTTCAAACACACACACACACACGCAGCTTTTCGCCTGCAAAAGGCGTGGCAGGCAGACAGACAGGCAGTCCATAAGCCAAGCTCTAATTTATGATTCGCAGCTCGAGCATATTTCGTGTATTTTACGACAATATGCTCCATTTAAATCCAACATTCTGGCAACTTAAAGATGACTTACAGATGGGCTTTGGATTTCTTTTTAGTCACGAAACAGTTTGATCAGACTTCGAAGCAGGGCGAATATCTAATATACTCGCATATACAGTGCCTTTTTTGCTTGATTTGATTAGCAAAATATGCGGCAAAAGCTGTTAAAGGGAGATACATTTTTATTCCACAAAACTCGAAATTGTTGCTCGATTTAAGAGTACATTTTAGCTATTATTTCATAAATATGTCTACATATTAGCTATGGATCTTATTCCAATCGTTTCTCATGAATTTGCTGTTTTATCTGAATTTTTTTTTCGGCACATTTTGCAGTCTGATATTTGTGGCACTTTTTGATATTGGAATTTGCCGAGAGGCTTAGGCATTTTCATTAATCTTCTAGAGTGTTATTTCATCATTTATTTGTAGGAAACTTATAGATTATAAACTGTGAATAAATCATAGACAGATTCCATATGCCAAATGTGTAATTTAAGCTGAAAATTCTATAGAAAACTATTGGAACTATTAGCTAAAAGTTCTCTCAGTCAACTTGATTGAACTTTGAATTATTCAAAGTGCAAATCGACTTTAAGCCCAGGAACTCTCTGTAAGGCGTACTTGCCCCACCTTTACACTCCTTTACACTTCGTCTGGCACTTCCATCATTTAGCATTTTCCACCTACCATAATTTATTTTTAACGTTAGCATTTCCGCTGTGGGCTTTCCTCTCCATTCATTTTCTTTACCGTTGCATTGTTGACAGCCAGGCCATCCTTCGTATTTCCCCCCCCTGATTTTGCACCGCTTTTCCACCCCGCTTTTCTTTCTATAATTCGCGCCAAGGCGCTGCCCCGCCCCCCAGAGCTCTGGTTATGGGTGGAGCCGCAACTCCTTCTCCTCCCTTTTTCCCCCAATTTGGTTATGCATAATGCATCCAAAGGGTGGAGCGGGCTGGCTGGTTGCTGGTTGCTGGTGTTTGCAACGTGTGTGGGGCCCAATGCCTCGCCTCGCCTCCACCCCGCCCCGCCCCGCCTCAGTGTCTGTTTCGGTTTTGAGTTTTGCGGCTAACCGCAGGAATAGTCGAATACGTATAGAGCGCGTGTGTTATAATAATCTATGGCACTTTCGAGGTTTAACCGATGCATAGATACAGCTACACAGATATAGAGATATAGAGATACACAGAGAGATAGAGACAGATAGAGATACGCGACAACTGAAGCCTAAAGCCCGAGGCCCGAAGCAGTGGTAGGCAAATGAATGTTGTAGGCCATATTGCGGCAGACTGACAGGCACTCGCTCGCTCGCCCGCTCGGGCGGTCTGGTCTGGTCTGGTCTCTAAACTATATATTGTATGTATGTATATCTATGGGCCCCATAAAGCCCCCACCATCCAACGCAATAATGCGAATACGAGTGTGTACAACTTTAATTTGAGTTTCGTAGGCAGCTTGCTTGTTGCCTGGGTTATTTCTAAGCAAAAGCTTCGGTAAGCGTGGGCGTCTCAAACGAAAATTGCTAAAAAGATGCGTAGGCCGTGGGGCTATCCACACTCGCTTCGGGTACCGGAGATGGAAGCCCAGAGACAGACTCAGCGACAGCGTCAGCGTCAGAGTCAGAGACGTTTGCCGGGTCTGACAACAACAACAACAACAACAATAACAACACATGGCATGGCATGTGGCATCGGCATCGGCATCGGCATCAACAGCAACATCGAATGTGTGTGTCGTCGTGGATATATAGTTCATCAGCAGTCGGTTTTGGCTTTTACCTACGCATAGTTTTCAGGCAAAGCTCATCTGTTTCACTCTGTGTAAATCGAGTTCTATCCTCTGTCTCTCTCTAGAGCGGCAGCCTACCGCTGGACAAAAAAAACAAAAAACAAAATGCTAATTTTCGTTGACATGCCATAGTTTGGCTAATGACGAAGGTTGTTTGTTAGCTTTGTCAGTTGACTTGACGCCGTTGCCAAAAAAAAAAAACTGAAAAAAATATTAGAAGAAGAAACCAAAAGCCAGAGCCCAAAAGCCAAAGGCAGCAAACTGGTTAGCCCATGTGCGAGTGAGATTTGAGTGGGCTTTATGGATAGTAGGGAATTTCTTTTGACGGAATTTCCATGAATTAATGCTGCTGCTGCTGCCGCTGACCATTCCTCAGGTGTGTGCGTAATATGTGTATGTGTATGGGATACAACTCTAAATACATATAGGAAATGTCAAGCCAGAAATATTTGTATGCTTCTATAATTTTTATTCCACTATTAATGGGGGGGGGGATCATCTTTTGGCTGGATTTGTAAACGGAACTCTCAATTCAGTAGCAAAACGTTGAATAGCAAATCTTTTATTTGATCAGGAATAAGGCAAAAGATACACTCTGCATCTACCAATGGTCTATCTGATCTATGGCTTCTATTGATTGTTTATTTACAGGAATCTATCTAATAAAAGATTGTAATACAAAAAAAAATCTTTAGATGATCTATGGCCCCCCTTTTGGGTTAGATCTTGTTTCCATTAATGAAGCTACGGAAAACATGGATATTCTTTGCTTGATTTATAGTTTGTAACACTTAAATATGCGCTATAAATCATATCTCTTTCAGAGTTCAGAGTTTTGTGTGCCTTTTAATATAATTTATACTTTCTAGCGGTTAGCTTTTCGGCTATAGATCATTTATGGATTATTTCAACAGCGTTTTGCCCCCCAAAGAATATTTGTATTCCCTGCCATGGATACTTTACCCATAAAATAACCTTTTTCGATTACTTTCATTGAGCATCCAAGCTGTCAGATATGTTTGAAGCTCTTTTTTTTTAAACAAAAGCTCACCCATAAAATCACTTTGAACGTTGCTCAACGATCACTTTCATTGCGCATCCCCATTCATTGTAGCTCTGAAATAACATCACCTTCAGCGAAACAATATAGAGATCACGGTTTCACCCATTTCCTGAGCACTTATCCATATTTGAAGCTCAGCAAACAACCAAATTTGTGTTTCCTACGCCCACAATAAATGCTGCTGGCAGTGTGTGTGTATGGTGTATGGTGTACCTCTTGGCATTTGATCAATGTCAAGGCCTGATCACTTCATCAGACCATAACTACAACAGATTTTGGTGTTTTGGCCCATACCCCATACTTATACCCCTCTTCAGCCAGCCCATATCCGATCAACAGCCTTGGACAACAATAAAGAGACAACAAAAGCAAGACAGAAAGAAAGAAGCAATGAAGAAAAAAAAAGAAATGAAAGACGACACAACGCCAAAAAAGAAATTGCTAAACAGATAAAAAAGAAAGAAAAAAAAAACACATTTTTGTTGAATGAAATTCACGCAAGAAGGCGAAAGATCAACGCCGCGCGTTGACCATTCAGATCGGGGGATACGAGCGTATTCATTGTCCCAATGGAGTGCCAGAAGAGCGGAGATCGGAGGGGATGGGCGAATGGGAATGAGGAACAGGCCCAAAAGAAGTCAAACCCTGTTGGGCCCCTTGGGTCTCTTGGGTATCTCTGTGTCTTGTAGCAACAAAATAATTTATTGAAATTCAAATTTATTATCTGTTGCTGTTGCTGCTGCTGCTGATGCTGCTGCTTCTCGTCGTATCGTGAGGATGGGTTCGGTCAATGTTGTTTTTGGGTTTATTTCGGACCAAGAGCAAAACCAATTCAACTGGAATGCAGCACACAAAACTTAAAAAGAAAAAAGAAAAAAAAACGACAGACATGGCCCAGAGCGTAAAACGAAACGAAACAATCAAGAATGAGTGTAGAAAATTCCACAATGAGCCCACGCAGAGGGACGACGACCAGAAAGGTAAAAGGAATATTCGGATACGTATACACACATGTACATGCATAAGTTTATATGTATGTGTGTGTGTGTATGTCTGTTGTATTTATATTTGGGGGGCAGATCGGTATAATCAACGTTTAGCTGAACGGATTAAGCCAAGAGCATCCAAGCTCTGCCTCTGCTCTGCTCTGGCTTTTTTACATGTGGCCTAAGCAAATACGAGTGTACGAGAGAATCTTACTTACATTTGTGCA